ACATGTTATATATTTCATTAATTAGTGGTTAAGTAAATAGATATCAGATTAATATTATATTATTTGGTCAATTTATAAATTACCTTTTTGGTAATTAATTATTGGGGAAGTATTTTCCTATTTGTTCCTTACTTTGATGGAAAGTGGAATTAAGGTTACTAAAAGGAAAACTAGTCCTCTCTTTACCTTTATAAAAATACATATTTCCATCAGTTATGTACACTAATGAAACAACACGTATAATGTTTATGTGTGCAATAGACTCAGAGAGAGAAATCGGTTTCCACGCTTTAGCTATTATTCGAACTCGCAATTTAGCACGTTATTCGTTCCGCAGAAAGGATCTCGACGTTTGGCTTGATCTCTATGATATTTGCAATTACATATCGAGGTATTTATATTTACCTATTTGTTTGTGCATTATAGACATATGAAAATAATGAAGTTCTAAGATCTTATGATTCATGTTTATTTGTGATTAATGCTTGACATGAATAATTATAGATTACAAAGTAGTCAAAACGCGCTCGAACGAAAAAAAAAAAAAAAAAAATACCGGTATTGAAAATAATGAATAACAAAATTAACAGTGTCGAAAAATAATCTCGAGCTGAAAAGTTCGTCTCGAACCCACACAGTGACCTCCCAGGTCAAAATTTCAAAAATGAAGAAAATGATCCAAAATGCATTTCTAAGAATCCAGAACTCGAAAGAAATGGTAAAAAAAAATCCCGAGAACTTCGTAAACATATCCCAATGTCATAAAAAATAAAAGAAAAAAATCCAAAAAATCAGTAAAAGGACCGGTCTCTAGAATAATAATGAATTGTATGAATTGGAAGTAGATACATAAAAAGTATAAGGTGAATTATAGTGATCCATTTTGGACTTTCATCTCATAAATTCAACCTTTTTTTTTTTTTTTTTTTGAAAAATCACTCTTACATCTTGTTAGAGTTAGAACTATAAATTGATTTATATCAGCAATGTACACTACCATTTTACTCTCGTAATAAAACATATAATTGTTGTCATTCTGCTGATTTTATGAAAATAAGTTAAAATTACAACTTTATCCCTTATCTTAAGCGTATTTACATATTGGGTGAATTACTCTGACATATTGTTTGTCAAAATTACACGTGGATGAAACTATTTGAAAAATGATGGTCAACTACCGTTTGTTCAAATCATTCTGACCACCCTATTTAAGTCAAAAGTTAATTATGTCAATAGAATAATTTCTAAATACCACAACTACCCTTATTTAGACAATACTACCCATTGCTTATATTTGTATAATTTACCCTTTTTCCTGATAGTTGCACCATTTTGGGCCCTTTGGATTGGATTTTAGGCAACCATTTTTGGCTTCTAGGACTCAAAAGCTAATTTTTACAGTGTTTGGATTACAACGTTGAAGAGCTTCCAGTCTATGGAAGAACGTTGGACCGAAGCTAAAGGAGGGTAGCGTTCACGAAACGCTCTTCCTGAGGGACACAAGAAGCCTTTTGTGGTTTTAATGAAACTTTTGTAATTCCCATAATACCCTATATTCTGTAAGGTTTTGTTTAGTTAGATAGAATCAACTAGAAAAGAAAGGGAAAAAAATTTTTAAATTTTTTTTAGAGTTTAGATAGATGGAAAAAGAATCGTAACAGAAAATATAATTTCCCACATTAGATTAATTTCCCTCAAAACTTTTCTCACACAAAACACGAGGAAATAATATTTTCTCCTGAAAACTTCTTCTTTTTATTTGAAGTTTCTATTTTATCTAAGAACTGAATCATGTAAATCAATTAACTTCTTTTTTTTCTAACTGAGTTTCTTTTCTACTGAGTTTCAAAGAGACAAGTTCTCTAACAATTTTTATTTTAGTGGACTCTAAAAAGGCAAGTTCTCTCTAAACATGTTCTCTTGCAAATACTATTTGGACGATTTTTTTTTTTTTTTTTTGGTTTCAAATATATACATTGTATTTGATATATATATATACCTCTATTATATAAACAAAGAATAATAATATATATATTGCTCTTTTTGTGTTCTCTGGTTGAAAGCCATGAGTCCAAGCCCAAATTTTTTTATTTTTTAATTTTTATTTTTAAGCTTCCATATTTCTCTTAAATGAATAGTTAATTCTACTTTTACGGTTCTACCTAAGAAGTCTTAATTGTTTTAATTTAAACAATGTAAATGAATATAAATAATTATATTATTAAATTTAATAAATCATCATTTTATTAAAACTTTGATAAAATTAGACATCATCAAACACAAATTTATTTATTTTTTTAGTATTTGAAATCATAAGGGTAATTTTGGTATGCATAATCACTTTCTTTTCATTTTCATGCTATCCAAAGTAGGAAACTAATATTTTCATACAATTTTTCTGAATAAATTTTCATGGTAACCAAATACTTGACAGAAAATAACTTTTCTTACCATACCATATGGAGCATCCGGCAACCTCCAGCAGGAACAAAAGCATTTTAACATTTTATGATTGGTTATTCTTTGTTGATGATTAACTTATTCTCTCTGGAGACCCTTTTTACTACAAATTAATGTAATTTGAGCCGCTCAGTTGATACCCAAATGACGAATTACGAATTACTCATCTTAATTTCATGGTTTCAAAGTTATATTTTTTCATTCACCAAGTTTTGAGATGATACCCATTTCAGAGAACATTCATTGGGGTTTCAAAAAAAAAAAATCTCACTAAATTTAGTTCTACTTCATATACAATGATTGTTATTGTTGGTTTTTCAAATGGCAAATTTTATTTATGATTAAGTATTGATCATTCTCGGATTTTATATTGACAGCTTTGTTTGTTTATGAACTACCAATAATCTTAATCGTTTTTTTTTTTCCTTCAATTATTAGGACTATTTTTTCCATCTCCTCATTCAGTTGTTCTAAATTCTGTGTACTTCCATGAACAGGGGGAGGTTAAACGTTTGATGAATGGAAAATTGATAGCAATTCAATTTTTCAAACTTGCAGCACTTTTTATCAAACATACTTTCATGTTTTTGCTTTCAAAAATCTTGCAATAAAATTACATTCTCAAATAAGTTTCGAAATAATGTTGAACAAACTCTAAAACGGAAACATTGTTTCTGCTTTGGGTCAAAGCAAAACTACAAAACAACTGTGGTTGCCAAACGGGCCCTTAGAAATCCCAAGTTTGTGTTTAACATGCTTTCAGTTCTTGAGTGATTGTGTTTACGACTATTTTTGCTTGCTCATGAATTTATGTGAGTCTACACAAGGCTATGTTGATGAAATTACGTTCATAAACCTATACATGCTTATATTTATGTAAACCTCTACATACTCTATGTTCTTGAACATATCTAAGCTTACACAAGCCAAACTCAATATTTTCGTTTATTTATTAAGCAGGTCTAAAAATTAAACCCTAGTTTGCTTAATGAAAGAGTCTGAACCGATCCTTAAAAGAGCTGAGGCCGAGCTATTTATGATCAACTCAGTTCATTTGCAGTTCTAAATATTGATTCAAACATTAGTTGGTCGATCCACAACAGGAAATTATATTGTTTTCTGCAATTTGGTCAAAAAATTTAAGTGACTAACCAAGTCTTAAAACAGTAAGACTGTCTTTTGAGTTTGCTTTTGAACCATTGATATCTAGGCTAACAACATTCATAACTCAAGAAAGAAAAACTTCCATTAATGACCATGAATCACATTAATTACCTTTCAGCAGCTGCTAACTCCCTGGTGAGGGCAGGAATGTCATCCTCAAGAATTTTGGTTATCTTTCTTTGCAAAGCTAACTATGCAAATAGATATGCAATTTTTTCAACTCATCGTAAAAGACTATTTTATCTTTTCTCAATAAAGAGAGTTTATGTAAAGTATTGTCTTTAAGTTTCGACTTGAATCGACCCAACAACTAACTCAACTACTTAAAAAAAAAATTGAGCAGTGTATTAACTTCACATATTATAAATGATGAAGATTTCATTTAATTTAAATAACCAATTTTTTTGCAAATGAGATCTTTTGGTATATATAAACGTTTCCATCTATAGATAAATGGTCTAAAAGAAGTTCAATATATAAGAACAATGGAAATAAAAAAGAGAGATTTGTTGAGTTCTCTTTTTTCCTATTGAAACATTTAAGATATATTACTTATGCATGTGTGAATTGTCATCAACAAAAAGTTACAAAATTAAATGAAATTAAATTCAAATGAATTTATATACATGTGCTAGATGGATCCAAATAACATGTTAAAATTTACGGAGTAATTGATTGGTGATATAATGTGTGCTAAAAAGACATGGTACCACCAATCTGTTACCACCTCTGGAATAATTAATGATGAAAGACCTAGCTGATCATGCATATGCTTGAATTCATCTTTTCTTTTTCTTTTTCTTTTCTTCTTCTTCTTCTTCTTCTTTTTTTTTTTTAGGAATAAGAAACTAACATCGGCAATCACCCGCAAACTATATATATAAATTAAATTTAGATTTTTTTTGTATGTTGTAAGAGTCAAACTTAAGATATTCGAATTTACGGCTCGTCCCTTCAGACTCCCTTAATCACCTGTGCAGGCTCTCTCTTTCTTTATAGTATTAATTAGTCTCTTAATGTTAAGATTAGGTTGACCTGCCCAATTAAAATCCACAGCTGAAAGAAGAAAAAGCAAGAAAACTGACATAAAGCAAAATAAATTTTGGACCAAAAAGATGAGCAAAGTGGCTTCAAAATGTTGTCGGCAAATAACTGTTTTATCTGGCAGTTTGTGCAAATAACTATGATATAAAGCGCTTTGTCATGCACTAAGCTCGTGTGTTCTGTTTCAATTTGTCTTCACTCTCTCCTTTGCTTGCTATATTTCCTCTTTTCATCAACATATATATATATATATATATATAAACTCACTCCATATTCACACTTCCCACATTAGCTTCAGTGCATATCTCCCTCTGGGACTGGACTTGAAGCTTATGGAGAGACTATTACTCATCTCTGTCATTCTTAGCTTCTCTGTCTCTGTCTTTTCGTATAATGTTCCCGCAATTTTCACATTCGGAGACTCCATATTTGATGCAGGTAACAATCACTACAACATCAACTGCACAGCCCAGGCCGATTTTCCGCCTTATGGATCCAGTTTCTTCCACCACCCGACCGGAAGATTCACCAATGGAAGGACAGTCGCGGACTTCATATGTATATATATTTTCTTTCTTTCCTTCTGTCAAATATATACTCCGTATATGTTAAAGTCATCCCATTTAAATCTTACACATGAATTTCTTTTTTTTTTTTTTTTTTTTTTTTGAATTTAAATTTGTAGCCGAATTTGTCGGCTTAGATTTGCAAAAACCATATCTGCAAGCACATCTTGAGGTTGTTAATGGAAGTCAGAAGGCTTATCCGTCCAATGGCATCAACTTTGCAAGTGCAGGCAGTGGAGTTTTGCTCGGAACGAATAAAGATTTGGTAAGAATATTGCTTCCTTGGAGTTAAGAAGAGGGAGTACTCTGTAATTAAGAATGATCATATGGAGTCTTTTAAGTATTTTCAATTTAGATAGAGCAGTTACATATGCTCCATTATAGAAAATCTTGATATATATATATATATACTCTTATATGTATATATATATATCACTTTCACATACTTTGGGGGATAGACCTAACATGGATTTTACTCTACAGTACTGTGTACTAGCATTTAATTACATTCATGTGGCAAACATTTTACTCCAAGTACTGTGTACTAGCATTTAATTACATTCATGGGGCAAACAGGGAGTGATACCAATCCAGGTCCAGCTACAACAATTCCAAACCCTAATAGAACAAAACCAGATTGACGAAAAACTGGTCCGGCAATCTCTCTTCTTCATCGAGTCTGGTTCAAACGACGTCTTCAACTACTTCCTCCCATTTGATCCCCCAACTCTCAACCCAGACGCATACGTGCAAGCCATGTTGACACAAGTTGGAATCTTCCTTGACCAAATTTACAAGCTTGGTGCTCGCCGCATTGCCATTTTTTCGCTAGGTCCTGTGGGTTGTGTTCCGGCGAGGTCCCTCTTGCCTGATGCACCGATTGAACGATGCTTCGGGAAGATGAATAGGATGGTCAAGAATTACAACTTCGGTTTAGAAAGTTTGGTGAAGAACGTAACCATAAAGTATCCTGGTGCAGTTGGTGTTTATGGAGCTGTATATGACACCGTGCAGCAGTTTCGAGCACTCCCAACTCGCTACGGTAATTTTAGGCTCTTCTTTTTTTCTAATAATAACTACTTCTGTGTTAATGAAGAAAAGGTGTTCCAATTAAGTTGTTCGACGCCTAATGAGAGTGTACTTTGTTACGATTTCACAGGCTTCTCCAATGTATCAAGTGCATGCTGTGGTGAAGGAACTCTGGGAGGGATGGTGCAATGTGGCAAGGAAGGTTACAAGATGTGTTCAAACCCTAATGAGTTCTTGTTCTGGGATTACTTCCATCCATCAGAGCACACTTACAAACTCATCTCCAAGGCTTTATGGGGTGGAAGAGGGTCACGAATTCGTCCCCTAAATTTGAAGACTCTGGCAAATATTACAGTCACTCGTGAATGAGTAACAAGAATATTTTGAGGGATGTGTAAGCAAAGAAAGAGTACATTTATCAGTCTACATGAGTAAACTTCATAAATTATGGGTATCTAATAGATTTGTGTGTGTATTAGTACTCTTGCCTTGTTCGGTAATGCATTTATTTGTTGGGTCAACCTCGTCTCTAAGACATATGAACCTTCTCTAAAAGGAGGAGAGCCCGCTACAAGAATTTTTTTTTTTTTTTTTTTTTTTTTTGATAAGTAAGAAATGAATAAAAATCGCTCAAAAGAAGAGCCCATCCAACAAAAGGCAAAAGAGCCTCTAAGCTTTCAAAGAGGTCCAAAAATCGATAATATTCTCAATAAATATAAAATCTTTTCCTGAAACCCAACAAAAAAAAAGTGAATACAAAAAACATGAAAATTTAGAAAACATGAACACTTTTACAAAAGAGCCGTACCCATGTCAAATACCAATACTCTTCGTACACTCCTTGAATACGTGTCCATAAATAAAAATTAATTTTATTATTTTAGACACTTCCTGGACACTTCGTCGACACTTCTCGGACATTTCTAACACAAATCTACTCAGTAATCTTGAAAATAATATGAATACTTTCATGACAAAGTAGTAAAATAATGATATATATGATATAAAAATTATTACAATAATGACATAATTTCATTTTCTAATTCATTTCAAAGCAACTCTTAGTATAAAAATTATAAATAAATTAAAATTTTATAATACTATTACTAAATAGAAGTATAAAAATAAAAATAAATATTTATATTTATATTTATATTTATACATAGCCATGTCCACACCGTACCCGTGTGTTACATTATTTTACTTTTTTAAAATTTGACGTGTCAACGTATCCTGTCCCTGCCCATGCTACATAGATGAAAATTCTTGGTGTTGAGATCGCTAGAAAGAATTAGTTACAAGATTCTTCATGCAAACCACAGAATTCTAGTCATATGCAGATCAATAGCCTCAGTTCCCAAAAAGTCCAAACCGTGCCTAAGAAGAATTTCCATCCAAAATAACACAGCACGGAGAACGATTCATTTTTGACAATAAGGTGGAATTGTCAAAGCGTGTCGTCGGGTATTTTACCTTTTTTTTTGTTTTTTTATCATAACAAATTAACAATCACATAACCAGTAAAAACTAAACTTTATAATCTACTGTATCAAAACTAAAAATGTCTTTTTATTCTTACATAAATTCATATAATACACAATGAGGTAAAAAGAAAACGCTGATGAAAGCAAATGTTGGAGGGACTTTATAAGTTCTCTTCAAAAATTAAGATTAATATATAAACCTGTACATCCATATGAAAATTAAGAAGGAAAGCCTCGGAAAAAAGAGTAAAAAAGACCTGACAGTCTATTTGGTACAAGGCCATTGTCTGAATTCCTAGTCAGAGCTTGATTGTACCTTCTATGCATCTTCATTGATGGCCATGTGTGGATTTGTCCGATTAACAATATCATTTCCAGCTTCTCCTTGGCCTGAAAAGTTCGTTGAAGAAAAACAAATAAGAATATAACATCCTAACAAACACTTCTCTCTTCTCTTCATCTCTCTCTCCACAAAATTTTTTTTTTTTTTTTTTTTGGGTTGCTCTTTTAGTCTTTTCTTAAAAGAGCTCACGATAATCATATGTTCTTTAAAGAGTGTAGATGGTGTAAATACTTCCGATTCTTCTGCTGTGAACGCCAGAAGCAGGCAAGTGCTCCAAATGCACAGCTGGCAACAGCAATTGCCAATGCTGCCCCCACAGGCACCACAAGTGCATTTGTTGAAGCTGCCAAATCTTCAGCCAGACCCTTGTTTGTCCCATCATCCTCGAGAAGCCCTTTATCCTTGTACAGAGACACGATCATCTTCCCATAGAAGTTTGTCAAAAACTTGAATACCTCGTCATGGTCCCAATCAATCCGACTACTTTCATTGTTTTTCCGGCTTCGAGCAAGATAACAAGAAGGACAAAGCTGTTTTGGAGGCCAAATAATCTTTGGGAATTTAGGGTCAACCGTTTTCAGAGATGCTTCTTCTTTCATGAGTCTCTCATTGACTTTATTATGTGCACTCCACAACCAGAGGACAAGGTCACGGGTTTTGTTGAAAGGGCCAGAAACACTGAAGTAAAATTAGCCATAATCAGATTCAATGAACCTCAAGAAGTAGAAGACAACCTTCAAGTAGCTTTTTACCTAGAGCACATTTCATAGAAATGTTGGCGACACTCCTCACAGACGAAGAAATTGTGGATAAAATCACATATAGCTGTAAACGCCAAGTGGCTCTCTCCATCCTCAGTTCTCACAGAGAGTGAATGTAATAGAACCCACAATCCACAGCTGCAAAAGGAACATAAACTACTTGGCTAAACAAATCTGCTGAAAAATCTATTATAGCCTTTAAATGGAAGACTGATTTGTAGGAAGTAAAAACGAAAAAAAAAAAACGTTGGTAGCCAAGTTATTTTCTTTTATCTTATTTCCTGTCATCGTTATTGTTGTTAACTAACTTTGGCAGTGAAGTTATAACAACAGAAAGTAACAAAGAGCCATAGTTGCAGAGTCAACTCTGTCGAGGGTATATAGTAATGCGCTAGTAAATAATTAGCTCAGCAACTGTGACAAAAATATATATATATACCATGCATAACAAGTAAAGCAGAAAATAAAAAATTAATCGTCTTTATGGGCAAATATATACCGCTTCTGAAAGCAAAAGTTCATGATGGACTCGGATTGCATCTGCTATTCAATTTTTGTAACAGGTCATCTGATGCTCCTGATAGAATAATGCACAACTGTCATCTAAAACCATGCGCTTTTGCTTTCAAAAGGGTAGAATAAATTGTCTTCCATCACGAGAAAGTAACTATTGCAACTAATAGAAAAAGTGAATTTTCCCTTCCTCTCCACAACTGCTGCTATCAGGACACCAGAACTGCAGCCGCTATGTCCACGCGTGTTTTAAATGCACTGTAGTTTATACTTCTCAGTTTATTATACCACCTTACTTCTGTTATTTGTTCAAAGCCAAAGACCAAATATATTGCTTTTCAAATGTAGTTCAAAAATTCTGATCCCAACGGGGGCCTTAGCTGATCCCTTTGTGCCATGTTCAGGTAGAGTGATTGTGATGCCACCTACATCTACTGATCTAATTGCCAAATACAAATTTCATATTCTTTCGTATAGCGCCTGCAATATGACTTTTCTAGAGGCAATAATTGCTAAAACACTTCAACAACCTCTCTTGTAGATTATAAGCACTATAATACATAGATGGCACATATAAATCTAAGTAAGTTCGAGAAACTCCTATTGACGACAATGTGGTTCTGAAAAGAAAACTTGAAAGTACAATCTACATTTAGCACACCCCAAAATAAAAATATTTTAGCATAAGAGTCCCTTTTTTTTTAGTTCTAGATTTCATTAATTTCATAGTTTAATTTTCATTTTTTTATTTTTTATTCTTTATTTTAAGTTTTTATTTTCATTTAGAATTTTAGTTTCTTGAACTTTTAAACCTATCAGGGATATCTTGGGAATTATAACCAAGTCCAGAAGAGGGTTGATTTTATGGTTTTATTATAATTTAATTTATTTAAATTAAAAGGAATTTATTTAAGGGGTCATCACATAAAAGATCTTCTTTCTGTTGTACACCGCCCCATTGATTTTGGATGGGATTGGGGCAGAGGAATTGCAAAGCCCTGTGAAATTTTCTTTTAAGTTTCTTTTCTTAAAGTTATTTTAATATTCAGAAAATAAAATTATTTGAAAGCATGTAATTCGATGCAATAATAAGTAATTGATAAATACAGAATGAAGATATGAAGGATAAACTATTCAAGGTTAACAAAGTATCAAAAATAAGAATACACCAGTACCTGAAGCCCCTAGTATCATTCTTGCTGCCACGACAAAACATCTGCAAACGAACACCCATATCAGATTGAAACAACCAGAAAAAAATTCCTTTTATCAGATATTGACAGATAACATCACAGCCAAATTATATTCAGATTGAAACAAGTAGAAATATTTCAACCAAATTTTAACATAATCAAAATTGAATTTATACAGTGAAATAATGAAGACAGCCCATAGAGAGAACGAAGGCACATTGGAGAGCAAGAAAAGTTCTATAAAAACTGTGTGAACTATTGAGAGAGAGGGAGAGATGCAAGGGGCATCCAACAGAGTCTTAGCATTCAGTAACTAACTCCCTACTCCTAAGACATTCCAATCCAATCAATGTGCCAACACGGTCTGCCAACTGAGAATTAGATTACTGACTCACACATTACCTTCAAACATCCTTCAATATAGTTCAGAAAGAAATACCTAGGAAAAATATTGGTTATTGAGTTGCTGCAATATCAATTTGGAAGTGTTAATTTTCCACTGCAAAATTCCTTTTAACCAACTTTAAGAAATTTTCTCACAAAGAAATAACAAGTTACACAAGTTATTAGCCAACACAAACAAATAACTAGACAGAGAATCCTTAATCACTCATCAAAAGCTAGATCTAGCCCTTTTAGTAACGAGTCCGCTTCTGACTGCAAATCTTGGCTTTTTACGTAATCCAAATTTCCTATGATCTTTATAACATTGATAACTGCATAAAATTTATGAGGGAGGCCAGCATGCCCCGATCTTCACAAATTTGACATGAAAATTTTAACTAAGCACCATTTATTCCAATCTCTTCATTATCCTACGAAATACAAAACCACTTTAACTGTCTAAAATAATATTCTTATCCCCCGTGTAATGTAGACTAGCAAAAAAGATCAGTAACATCACCACTATGAGTTTAAGAAGTAAATAGCACAATATTCAAATGTGCATCACTTTTCCTGTAGAGACTAAAGGGGGGTGTGTGGTTCTTCTGGGAGAGGGCAATTTACAAACCTCAAGAACCCTTCTCACCAAAGGCAGATTGAGATGAAGCTGATAGATATTTAAATGGCATTACTACTAATTAGAAGAATGCCATTCATATTCTTTGTAATGACTTGACGTATTAGGTCACTCTGATGGGCATAAGTGAGATGAAGTTAAAATGTTGTCCCTTGTGAATTTGAGAAGATACCATTTATGGTTTTTTTGAAAGGAACAAAAGAAAGAACCTACCCAGCATGCAAATATATACAAATTATAACTCCCATCAATATTATCTCCAATGCCGTCCACTGCCTCATTAATGCTGAAAAATCAATTGAAAGCTTAGAAGTAGAGGTTCATCAAATAGTTTGAATCCTCTTTCATAGAGTATGTAACATTTGTAATCTTGAAATTCGGTAACAAAATTGTTGTCATCATTTTTCAGCACAGTTTCATATGGGTAAAGTTATATCTCGCAAGTTTCTTGCCAATGCCAAGAGGACTCACTAAACTCATAATGCATCAAAAACGTATTTGCGATTTGTAGCACGATACATAACAATACAATGTCATTTTTAGGGGTCCACGAAGAACCGGTGGAACCAGAGAACCGATCGGAACTGAACCAAATTGGTGCTTTGGTTCCGGTTCCTCACCGGTCTGGTTCCGGTTCCAATTTTGTGGAACTGTTGAGTAACGGTTCGGTTCCGGTTCCAAACCCTTGGGAACCGAACCGGTTATATAATTTATATATAATATATATTATTTTTTAATTTTATAATTACAATACATAATGATAATATATATTATAATTGCTTGGATCAAATATAGAGTGGTTTGATGCATTCCTAAATCTTCAACTCTTTTTAATGTTTTATTATTTCAATGCTTACATAAAAAAATACTAGTAGTGATCATCAGCCAAGAATGTTTGATTCTTGCAAGAACAGTTTATAAGAATGTTTATTTAAGTGAGTTAGACATACAAATTGATGGAATGAATGTGATCTCCAGTGTACTGTGTGTGCGCGCGAGTGAGAGAGAGATCAAACCGTACCTTATACACACATAAACACACAGTGAATATTATAGTTCAACAAAGTTGCTTCCATTCCAATTCTGACATCAGTTTTGAATCAAAGACCATTATGACACAGAGAGAGACAGAGAGAGAGAGTGGAATCACAAGTAAGCATTTATGCATTAATTTAAATAACATATAAAAAGAATAATTCTTTTTTGGAGAAGTAAACAAGTTTTTTTTCTCAAATTTTATATAATGAGAACCGTGGAACCAAATGGAACGTTCAGTTCGGTTCCATGTCCCAACGGTTCCGGTTCCGGTTCCGGTTCCAATTTTCTAGGAACCGTTGGGAACAGTTCGGTTCCGGTTCCGCCACTGAACCGTGTGCACCCCTAGTCATTTTTGGTTGATTATGGTATCGAGAATCGTAATCAGATTGAAGGACCAGAAACTCATATGTGTGATATGGGTACTTGTACTTCACGCATTCAAAAGAGTCCATGTAACATAGTATACACTAACACACATACATAGATACATAAACTCCCATAAACATTCACTAATAGAACCGCATGCATAAATATGTGCAAGCAAACTGAGAAATAGACACTATAACAAGGAAGAGAGTGATATATTTTAGATGACTAAATCTGGCGATGGTGCTAAAAGATCTGGATGATTAAGTTTACATTTTTCGTGGTGAATGGTATTGTCTCATACAATTTAAACATTTGTCCATTAAGAACCATAAATCAAATTTCTTTTCTTTTTCCTTTTTTTTTTTTAATTTGTTTTAGTAACAATCACAGTTTCACCTGTGTGTGTGAGAGAGAGGAGGGGGGGTAAAGGAGAGAGATATAAAGTTATAAATCCATTTTATGGTAGTTTTATTTTTAAATGAAGATGACTATGCCACACTGTTGGGAATTGTTTTTTTTTTTAGAAGTAAAAATATATTAGAAAAACGTTCAAAAGGGGAACGTGTCCCTAATACAAGAATAAAAAAGGTCTAAGGACCGATGGAATCCAAGAGATCAAAGAAATCATCAATCGAGGAGTATGCACTTCCTCTTACATAAGAGAACAGAGAACGAAGAATATGAATTTTCCTTCAAAGGATCTGTTATTCCTCTCACGCCACAAGCACCACCAGACACAATGTGGAACAATCTTCCAATAATCACAGGACACCTTTTCCAATCGTTAATCAATTGAGAGGAGTGCTTGGGCATTACCCAAAAAACGCCAAACATGCTAAAAATAGAACTCCAACAATCAAACGCCACAGGACAATGCAAAAGAATGTGATCCACATATTCACTATCAGCTTTACATAAACAACACCAATTAACAATGATATTGCCTCTCTTTCTCAAATTGTCCAATGTCAAAATCTTCCCCAATATGGCAGTCCAAACGAAGAATGCAATTCGAAGAGGAGCTTTAGAGCGCCAGACAGACTTCCAAGGGAACTCAGGACCAACGAAATTGGACAAACAGATGAACATAAAGCGAACACCATACCGACCATGAGCTAAAGGAACCCACAAAATAGCATCACACCCTCTGCCAATATCCTTCTGTCTATGCAACGTATCCAAAAAAACACAAGCTTCCTCCATTTCCCAATCCTGAAAGAGCCGCCTAAACTGCACATCCCACGTAACTCCATTGTTATCAAGTTGATAACAATAACTCACGTAAACATGCTTATTGGCTGCAATACTGTAAAGCCTAGGAAAGGAGTGAGACAACAATTGATCACCGCACCAAAGGTCCTCCCAAAAACGAACATGTCTGCCATCACGAACTTTGGGAATTGTGTCTCAAATTCCTATTCTGATTAGGTTTCTATTTAGATTTGTATTTTATTAAGTAATTCCTTGTTAGATAGTCTTGGGCTCCAAGAAATTGTAATACTTGTCCAACAAGGAATTGCATTTGGACTCTACAAATAGATACCTAGGTTATGAGTTTAGACTTATGAAATTGAGAAAGGTAGCCAGCCTCGCCAGGTAATGAGTGAGTGTGTAGTCTCCTTGTTGGGAATTTTACCCCTTCGTTCGGACAGCGGAAGCAAATCACTAACATATATAAAGATCCACTCAAAAATCAACAAACAATAACACAATATTTAACGTGGTTCAGCCACACCCGGCCTACATCCACGGAGTTTGGGAATTATACCCCTTCGTTCGGACAGCGGAAGCAAATCACTAACATACATAAAGATCCACTCACAAATCAACAAACAAAACAATAACACAATATTTAACGTGTACACTCTCTCTACTCAAGGTTATGGTGTCGAATACCCAAGCCTTTCACGATCTACCACTCCACGAGACCCCTGCTCGCCATCGGTGTTCCACCACTCACTCATCATCTCTACTTCCACACACTCACAGATTTCTATGGGGCTACATCTCTCCACTCTTTGCACCTCTTCTCTTCTTTTCTCTTCTTCATTCTCTTTTCTTCTCTACCCTCTCAATTCAACTCTCTCTATTGACATAGCTTGGTGAGCAAGTAATACAAACCCTTGTTGGGTAAGAATGCAACTACTTGGGGCTCAAGGGCAATTACTTCATCCCTAGTCTAACCAAACATTCCCAAACCATTACAATTCAAAGCCCAACCCAATAAGAAAATGAGACATACATCACACACAAACATTTCCCAATCATTTGTAATAATATAATCACTTAACAATATTGAAATGACCTTGTGCGTAATGAGATCAAAACGCAAGAAACTATATTTATTTACTAGAATCAGGTAACCTAGTCCCTAGGGCAAACACACCGGAAGGGATCCAGTAATGGAAAAATACTCAATAATCTATCAAGAAGCCAGCTTATGTAGATAAAGATGTAAATGCTTCTAGGTATATGCAGAGCAATGCACAAAGACAATTTCCTGGAAGAACAAAATCCATTTGCATACCCACCCAGTATCCACGAGGAACGTCATTCCCACAAATCTGGAAATTCTTTAGTGCGCCCTTTCCTTCACCAGTAACAATCTCCTGTTTGTTGGTAATTAACATATCTGATGGCCACAAATCATCAAAGTTCACAAGTATTTTTGCACTTCCCTTCCGGCACCTGCTACAAAAGATCCATAGTAAAAACACCGAATGAAGCAGCACATAAATCAAATATTGATACAGAAAGGGTTAGCAAGAACCTCCTAGAAGGGTGATGAACAACCAAAAGTTGTAAGAATTTTATAAGAGATGCCCGAGTCTCTGATTTGATCATCTGTATAAAAAGCATATATTAAGTGAATCACAGCAATAAGCACCAACTTTAGTGAAGCAACAAAATCTGACAAAAAGAAAGAGATGTTACCTTGTGCTCTAAGATTATGTCAAAGGCAGTGCCTGTTGCCTCCTCAACATCATATACCGCACGTGCAATCTTCACAAATCATACATTGAAAATATATATATATATATATATATATATATATTAATATCTCAAGTTCTGTGGAGGGCTTTAATTTGTAAAAAAAAAACAGTGAAGCCAATTCTCAGGTATGCTTTAAGAAGTACCTGTCCAGGATCTGATGCATTCCATTGAAGATGCTCATTCTCGTATCTTTCATCGTCCAAACCATATGAGCTATAAATATAAAAATGCATAAGAAAATTATAATAATAACATTAACAGCAGCTACCATGTATACATATAGTGATATAAAGGCAAGTATTCAAAAATAACATGACACCAAAATTTTTGCATTGTCAAAATTCACATTTAAGGTCTTGCTTTTAAATCTTGTGTTGAAGCTAAGTACAAATTTGTATAACAACAAATGAGCTCTTCGACTGTTGGTTAGCGTTGTTTAGCTGAGTACAAGGTCAGAAGGTCTTATGTCTTAGATCATCAAATCAAGACATCATGGGTTAATGGAGAAACATCTAGTATATTTATAGTGGACCCCTCTTACATTGAAAGGGAAGTTCTGTAAAGAAGCAATTAAACCGGTCATTCTTTATTGGACAGAATTTTGGGCAGCTAAAAAACAATGTATGTCTATATGAGTGTGGTGGAAATGCAATATTGAGAAGGATGTGCGGCAAGACAAGAAAAAAAAAAATCGAAATGAACACATTTATGAGATTTTTGAAGTAACAAAAACCGAATAAACTCAAGTAAGGTTTGGACATTTTCAAAGAGTGACACGGTCACATTGAACATAATGCTAGTGTAAGGGAAGACCAAAATTAACATGGGTAGGCTACTAAGGAAAGATATGATAACATGTGGTTTTATATAGAGCGGAATGAAAAAATATGAAGCCGACTCCAAGTAGTTAGGAAAAGGCTTTGTTGAGTTGAGCCAAGCCACTTTAACACAATAAGCTCCCTTCTACTCATTAGTCTATTTGGACATGGTCGGTCAATCCAACCAAAAAAATCCATGTTAAATGGAAATACAGCATTAATAGTTTAAAATTTTAAAGCTTATAATTTCTGCAATCCAGTTTCAAAGGTTATAGAAGAAGAAGAAGAAGAAGAAGAAGAAAAAAAAGGGTTATCAAGCAAGGAGTTAGGGTATCTAGTCAATTTAACACAAAATTCATCAGTATTTTTCCCCCCTAGTTGAGACTCACACACCCATTCAGGAAAGGGGAAAAAACCAAAAAGAGATTCACACACCCACTTTGCCCCTGCAGAACTTGAACCCTCAACCATCTACTTTAGAAGGTGAGAAAGTACCACAAGGCTACAACCCTTGGTAATTCCTAATTACTTTCGTCAAGAACATCAGCAACATCCTCATATATATTTGGTACCAACAGATTCATCAGTTTGATTGAAGAGGGTATTTAATCCACTCACCGGCCCTGCAATGGTATTAGTGGTAGTGCATCTAACAGGAGATTTAACAAACTAGGCAACGTCGTAAGAAGTTGATGGTATCGTTAATGGTTATGCAGTATTTAGTTCAGCAGTAGTCTCATGAAATTGACTCGATTATAAGAAACTGAAAATATCACACTTGTGGCAGCAAGTCATTATTAAGTATGGGAAGAAGTCTATGAGATGCATAGAGCTTGGACCTTAATACTATAGCCATAGTCTTTCTGGTTGTCCCATTCCTCTATTTGGCAAACATACTTCTTGACTACTACTCGGGTACATCTTGTGCAATATCTGCTATCCTACAACGAAAATTATATTTACCTTTCAAGAAGATACTTAATCCAAAAATGTTGAAACATATCTATGACAAAGACATCATCTATTTTTTCTTATTAAGCCAACAATTTTTTATGTCTCAGTAGTTTTTGTCTAACAATAACCCCTCTCCAAAAACTCATCACTTGGCCATGTAGAATAGACAAGTTAACAGTTACTGATTTATCCAAAGTAGATGGAATAAAGTAAGGAGCAGCATGACGTGTGACCCCGCCCCCCCCCCCCCCCCCCCCCCTCTTCTCCCAAAAAATCACCCTCCGGTTAGCTAATTACCTGTCAATCTGTCATTATCTCAGGAATAATTCATGCATGGCATGTACCCAGTATCAATTTAATCTTTGTTTAAATTTTTATTATACTCATTCCTTTGATAGTTTCTAATTTCTTTATAGTAAAATATCAAAAACCTAAGGAGACTACTTGCCTGAATTCTCCTGCAATGTGAACAAAAAAACAACTTTTCATTAACAAATATATGCTCCTTGAGAGTATGAAAGTGTTAATAGTAACTTATAATTATTACCAATAATCTCCAAAGTATCAAGACATCAGAGACGGGAGAAGGCAAAGTATGATAAGTCATAAATTATTCAAATCCTTTACAGAAAAACATACAGTATGGGATTTTGAACAGAATGGGTGAAGATGCCCAATACCTGCCCATTTGCTTATTAATCCAGCTAAGCAAGCGATCAGCTGTCCGTCCATCATCAATGGCCAGTATTTCACTTTTTGTTTGTTTAGGCTCCCAACCACCAGAGACAAATTTAGATGGAGGGGCCCAGAAGAGCATAGGATAATGACTTATAGAGAATCTATCACAAAGGTTATTGTTTATCTGTGCTGCCAAGCAAGTAAAGAGGAGAGGGACTAATCACTATTCCATATATGTTATAACAAGGACATTTCCAAAGACAAAAAATAAGCAAAAGGCAATAATGACAAAAAAGAGAGGGAGTAACAGATTGATTTAAAAGATTAACAAACTGACAAGGTTATGGATGAGAAAATACAAGGAAAAAAAAAATAAAAATTGCACCGAAGCTTAGTTATGCCCATGAAAATATGACCTCTAGATCAGCATATTATAACATACAATGATATTCGAATGCATTGATATGTCAGAGAACAATATTATTGTATCTCTTTCTCTCTTTTCTTTTTCTTTAGGTAGGGGATAAGAAACAAGAAATATGTAAAGGAAAAGGAAAAAATTTTGAACACATTACTCTACCAACAAAAAATAAAAAGAAGCTACCCATCAAATGCTAAAATCCCAAGCCCAAAGATCCTCAGTAGCCTAACTTCCAGAAAGGAAGCTCAAAGAAGGGTAGAATTGACCCCCAAATGGCATGGCATCAATTCCGAATTTTGATACGTTTTCTTCTACTCTATCTTTTACATGAGCATTTTTTATCATTTATCCTTATGTTATGGTGTAAATAGTACAGGTCCAATGGTAGGGATGATTGTGATTGCCATCCTTTTTTTACCTTCCTCTGTCCACCCAAACAATCCCAAAAAGAAAAAATACAAAATAAAAACAGAAGGATAAAATAAAAAATAAAAAATAAAGGCAGTCCAATTGTTCGAATCCTAGCGACTCTTTCAACAGAGAGAATATTAATTTTATTTACTTTTATTCATATTTTCCACATGAATGCCACATGATACCATTTGAACATTATTTGCAGTATCTGCTGTTTGATGTTATCTTTTATATCTTCAGTTTTCAAGATGCATAATGGCGTCATTTGTTACTCAATTTCCTATTTCATGAGTTTATTCTCTTTTAAATATTCAAAAATATGTAAACTCACCACCTTCAACTAAGATTTCCAACATTTAGCTCTCTATAAAGTTCCGTGGATTTTGAAGAACTAACAGAAACTTCAACAAATTGATTCTCCCTCCAAGATTACACGTGTTTGCACCAAACTCAAGTCTCATGGAACTCTACTAATCCTTCGAATTAACGGAGTATTATTATAAGGAACGTATGACCAGAAAAAAAATATATAGAGAAATCAAGCAAAGGCAGTCAAACGCTTTTTTAGAACTGCTCTTTTTGCCTATAATTTCTATTAAACATCCACAACTACCAATTTTATCTTCAAACAAAATCTAACTATTTGCATTGCTCTTCAAATTAAAAATAAATAAAATAGACAATGGTATAAAAATATGTCAAATTTTCAATTAGAAAAAAGAAAGGACTTTTTAAAGCTTCTAAAGATATGAAAATTTTATATATAAATAAACAATTTTTTAAGCTTGTAGTTTCAGGGTTTCTAATTTTTTCAGCTTATTCTTGATCATTCGCAAGAATTTAAATGGAAAGCAAAGTAGCAAGTCACTAAAATAATGTTCCAAGACCTCACAGACAATTTAGATTAAGAGAGGAAAATGTACACAAAATGCTTCCTTTGTAGCTAGAAATCCCAACATCCTGCCCATTAACAGTTTTTTCAAACAAATAAACTGAAAACTTCAGATAAGTTTCCTGAAAATATCTGATGGCAATCCAGATGGAAAAGTTTTCAATTCAGGAAAAATAGTATATACTATATATATATCTATATATGTATGTATATGCGTGCGTGTGTTTGCCTGTTGCCAACCAATCAAGCTGCTGACACAGCTAGTTGATCAATAAAAACTAATTAATTCTCCAAAATAAATTTACCAGCAGAGTTAAGAAACAGTATCCTTGCATGGTGAATAGCATTCTTGGTTGACCCAGCTATTGGAGTAGCTAATCAGTATTCATAAGTAGGTTCTAGTAGAAGAGTTATTTAACCGTGCAGGGTCAGTTGAATGTATAATCTTAAGTTTAGAATCTTCCTTTTTTTTTTCATGGCACTCTTCAGTATATTGTTAAGACAACAGTTCTACCTTTCAGTAAGTCTACTGACATTGGAACATATATCTTGATGGGCCATCCTGACAATTACAATGTATTCAAAGGAAACATTTAATTCTCATCATCACATGGATAAGTTACACGTCACCTAATCAGATGCTATTAACATTAAAAGGCCAATCTACCTCCAAAGAACTTCAGATGCACTTACTGAACCATTTATGCTAGTGTCACAAAAGATTAAAGCTAATAAACTAATAAAATGGCAACTAATATTACTTTTTAACTAGGCAAGGACATTTATGTTTTGTTCATATCACGTATTGTACCCACACTTCCATATCATGTTTATGATTTGTTCAAAAATCAATCAAATTTCGGAAGAAATCTTCCAACCACAGATGGAGAGGACATTGACTAAAGTACATGATAGGAGACTATAACAGGATAAAAGTCCAGTAGTCTAGTAGCCCACGAACTTACATTTGTGAATATACAGTTCTACAGTAAACCCTTTTACTATATAGATTCTAAGACATGTCACCTGGATCTCTGTTCCACCAGTGTACCCATCTTGACTAGACATAACATAGTACACATGTGCATGCAACACACCCAACAATTCAGATTATCACAAATCTTTGGAACGTAGATTAACCCATCACCTCGACACTCATCCACAGCCAACACCAGTATTCTAGTCAATATGACATTTTTATTAATATTAGTACTAGACCAATATTGTATATTTGATTCAGTACCTCCTTCTAATGGATCAAGTCGGTCAATTTTATATTTTTAAAGTATAAAACGAATTCACCATAATTTAGCTGTTTGTTCATAAGTTTCAAAACAGATAATGCTTATCTATTTGTTTGTAAAGTAAAATTTCTTAATCAGTTTAATAATTAGTTATCAGTTTCCAATTTTAAATTGAGTAATGAACCTATATATTATAAAGACAATAATGAAATATAACCTCCTTATCACAATGTATGTTGAGCTGCATATGTCCAATCATTGGCAGTATAGTTTAATATTTCAAAGGAAATAACAATGAGAGAAGATGACAAAGTAAAATGTTACCCACTGCAGTTGACTTAAAGTGGACCCTACCACAATCCTTGCCCAATATAATGAATATATAAATGACGTATTTTTCTTCACAACATTTTATTTTACTTTCTGATAGGGCATAAGATATAACTCTAAATATTGTACAACAAACAGGTGAATTTCGGAATTTGACTATACGAACATGCCATTACGGCATTGCCACCTCTTAAGGTAAGTTTCGAGAAAGCATATCAGCAATACCTTCGATGCACAGTCTACCCTCGTCATCAATATGATCCCTGGATGAACTGCATCAGCTCCATTGAAAAGCCTTGCCACTCTTTCATAGTGACGCTGCAAAGCTGCGGCTTTAGCAGTAATAAAAAATAAGAAAGTATTATTAGGAAATGGCAAATGCATTTACCAGTGGTAAATACCTTATAATTTCTGCAAGCCGGGCACCTGCAAGAGCAATAGTTGCATGTAAAGAATTAATAAATCAATTACTATCAGAATATTGGCATAAAACTAGGCATCTAAATTCCAACGCGACAGCAGAACTTGATTTACGAAATTTGCCAACAGAAGTCCTATTAACATAAACTACCTTGATTATCGCTAACAGTTAAAAGTTAGCCATTAGTATTTTGTTGAAAGAGCCAAATGAATGAAAATAATTGTTGGTTCAGTTCATTGGACCAACAATTGTGGCTCCCATAATATAACGAAGAACAAATGAATGAAAACCATTCTTGGTTCAGTTCATTGGACCAACAACTGTGCCTCCAATAATATAACCAAGAAACTACTATTTGTTAAAAAAAGAACACTCACTCCCGACACCCTCTTTCTCAAAACAGTCATTTAACTCGCAGCTATTAAAGAAAATTACAAATACAGATACTTCAGCTACTGCTCCCTGGAATATTTTCAACTTAGCTCATAGTGGATAGCTCTGCTCTTTAGTAGTCACAATACAATGACAATTGTAATATCCTAAAGACCATCTATACTGAAGGGTTTTTTCAATAAAAATACTTGCATTTTCACTTGTTATATACTTATTCAATAAAAGAACTACAACATTAAAAGCATTTTATAGCGAAACTTTTAAAAGATTAGAGCTTAATAATTAAAATTGAAAAGGGAAAAAAATCCAGCTTGAAAACTAATAGTGGGTTATGAATCAAAGTAAGATAGTTAATCAAAATTCCTTCTATAATTTTACCTTCTAAAGTGTTATACTTTCATCTATGTCTCAGTTGAACAGATCTCCCAAACAAAAATAACGTTAATGGCATTCTATAATAAAAAATAAAAACTTTTTCAACATCAGAGCGCAATAAGACCTAAATAAGATTTAATGCCACAAAACTTCATGCTAAGAAGTCCATAAGAAAAACCCTAATAGAATAGATTTACTGACCAGTGGGCGAAGAATTCAACAATGGCGTATCTAGCTGGTGTGTCCCTCAGAACTGCATCGAAGTTGGTAGCGTTCAAATCAACGGCGTAGTCAGGTTGATCACCGTCTCCCTTGTTGATATCTCGAAGGATTGAACGAGATCCAACTGGTGACGATGATGATGATGCTTCGAAGCTCACAAGAAGCAGAGTCAGAAGCATAAGAATTGAAGACATGGAACAAGATCGATGAGAGAGAGAGAAAGTGGAGCGCGCAGGGTTGAATCTTCGCACTTGTATTTGGTTGTGAGAAACGTCTGTGTCTGTTGAAGTTCGGAGGTTTGAAAGTGGGGTGATCTGTTTGACTGTGTGTGTAATCAGGAGGTGTCGGGAAATATGGGTCGGATTATCCGGTGATGGGTGCGCACAACGCTTTCCGGGTATTTTAGAATGAAAGAGTGAAATTTGGGACGGTAAAAGTTGACGGGACTCGACAAACTACTCGAACACGACATGACTTAAACGAGTTTGAATTGATTTTAAACGGGTTCAGGTTATAAATGAGTCGATACGATTAATCTGTTTAGTTAATCGTGTCGTATTTGGATTGAGAAGTTTAACCCGTATAACCCGTTTATATACATTTAAGAGTATATGTTGTAAATAAATTTCTATTTAACTTCTAAAATTACTATATAAACTTGTGTCTAATAATTTAATATTTTATAAATTAAAAACTATTTAGTAATTTGGTTGATTAAAATTTATATTTTTTTAGTATTTATTATTTTATTGAATATTATTAATAATTTATTTTTTTTTTATAAATTGATCATTAATGTGTAACCCGTTTAATAAGAAGGTCGGGTTAGCGTTGAGAGTTCCTGATACGATTATTAAACGGGTCACGATCGAATTGAGCTGTTTAGTATAATACCCTTAAATTGACACAACACAATTACAACTCATGAATACGAAAACCCTTAAAAATGCAATGCACCTCTCGCGTGACAAAGTAGGTAGTAGACTTTTACAAATGTTTAATTTTGCAAGTATTATTTACATTAGAATATAATTACACAATTATTATTTTGTGATTATTTTATGGTTTATTGATAAAAATTTGTTGGAAAAGGATAAATTAAAAAATGCATTATAAAGAAAAAATATATATCAGATTAATTAGGTAGGTTTTAGTAATTTCATTTCATTAATTTCTTTGCAATATTCAAAATTTAATTAAAGTAATATTTGGTTATGGGTGTGATCCAAATTTATTCCAGTCACTACAGAATAATTTTTCATAATTTGATTTGGCTTGGTTAAGTTTCGAGTCAATTTGACAAAATCTTGACATGATTTCTGATATTAAAACGATTGAAATAATAATTAAATTCATATTAAACGTATATTTATTTTTAATTTCTCATACTCGGTTTTGACAAATGTGGAGTATGCGACGTTAAATGTCATAATAATCAAATTAAGACTTCTTTTTTTTTCCTTCCTTACCTACAATTAAGTATTGGACTCGTTTTATGATGATGCAATCTCTTGGTCCCATCTAAATTAGTCGATTACCCAACTCTTGAAATCAATTTATTTTTAACTTAAATCCATCAAATTACTCAAATCTAACCAATTCAATAATATCATCTATTATATTATATTTATTTAATCGATTATATTCAGTATTTAATTAATTAGTGATATAATATAAGAATCGGTTTGGCATGCTATATGTTTTAGAGGGTATTTTTTTGTCAATATAAAAAAAAAAACCTGTTTTGTTGAAAAAGTATTTTTGGTAGAAATTCAAATCATGTTTGGTAACGAAAATTTGTTGTGGAAAATTCAAAATTTTGCTTTAGTTCCTCCACTACATATCAAAACACACAATATCACTAAATTGGTGTTATGGATTTGGGCTAAAAATCTGATATGTTATAAATTATTCCAAATCAATCTCAACCGTCAAAAATATGATATGGCCCAAATTTAAATATCAATATCAGAAAAATAATATCATAATACATTCCTAACAGGACCATTAAAATATTTTTAACTCAACTCAATGCGTTTGAAAGGTAGGTCAAATTTCTTAAATCTACCAATCCAATAACCTTACCTGACTAACGAGAAAAACTTCTTCTCAGTGCCTGTTGTATCGTACAACGGGTATTTCTGGTTCATCCGTATAATACACACGCCCATACATGTATTACACATATAATAATAAACGGTTGAACGTGTCCTGCAATGGGCGAAAATTTTATCCTAACTAACTAATTTTAATAGTGCCAATCATGTACGCAAATTGCAACCTACCAACCCCAAACCCAACTCAATCAGACCTCAATTTTTCAAGGTATTTGTTGTCCTCTTGAATTCACCAGCTCTGTTTCTCAAGGTGGTTGTTCTTTAAGTTAGCTCCTCCACCAAACACCATCCACCCAACTATTACGTAGAAGGAAATGAAAATGATAAAAGCGTATTTGTGTGATTGAAGCCTTGTAAAAATGTATTGTATAAGGGAATTGTGCAACTTCCAAATATATTATTATTATTGTTTAGAGTTTTTCTGAAAAAGTAACATGGAGAGGGGAGTATGTATGTGAAAGACTACTTAAATTTTAGCCCTTGAAATTTGTTTAGAGTAGTGTTTGATAAAACGAAAAATTAAACATTCTTGATGGGGTGGAGCCGGTGTATGCTGGGGCATGTGCCCTTGGTTTGGCCCAGCTTATTAGAATATATGCTAAATTTATCTATATTTATATGTATATTTGAAAATTTTCATATAATTTTATTTTATTTTATAATGCAAGAAGTGTTAGACGTTAAATTAGCAGAAGTAGAGAGTCGAAACCTGACACTCTAAAGTTCATTGGAGGCACTAACTCACAGGGCTATCGAGATATCTGAAAATATACATATATATATATATATATATATATATATATATATATATAATGCCCCACCTAAAATTTTTATTTTCTAAAATTATGTCTAAGTTTTTTATTTCTTCTATTTTTTTAAATTCGTGTGATTTCCGATAATAATAATAAATAAATAAATAAAAAGTCAAATTTTATTTGTTAAATCAAACTCTAATTTTTTTTTTTCCTTCTCTCATTTTTCTTTCTTTTTTAAAATTTTTGTCAACTATTTATCTTTTCTAAACTACTCATTAATTGACATATTTATTTTTAAAAAAAATTTACATTGTGCCCCCTTGGATTTAATTTCTGGAGCCACCCCTTATTATTGAATATCACTTTGCCAAATAAGTCAAAGTAATTGACATAAATATCATAATTAATGCATTAATTTGAAAACATGTTTGATGCTATCTAAATTTTAAGGGTTAAGTGCAAAAAAACCCTCCTCTACTATCGATATAATGCATATTGGTTCCTGTGTGATAAAAAAAACACCTTATACTATCAATTTGGTGCAAATAGGTCCCTGTGTGGTGTAAAATAACGATAATACCCTCACTTCAGTTGAATAAATTAATAAGGAGAAAGTGCAGAAAACACACATGAAGTATACTTTTCGTAGCACTTTTACCCCATGTTTAAAAGAGTGTGTAATAAACACCCTTAATCTTTTGAAATTGTGCAAAATTACCCCCCGGTCAGAAATCTGACGTAAATTATTGTTATAATACCTATTTTGCCCTTTTACTATTCCCAAAATGCCCAAGGGTGTATATATGCTACAAATCTCATAGTATATGGGTGTTTTGTGCACATTACCTTATATATATATATATATATATATATATTTTCTCTATATATACCCCTTTAGTGTTTTCTCTCTCTATACTTCCTCTAGCATTTCTCTCTCTCTAGCATTGCATTTCTTTCTCTCTCTCTCTCTATTTTTTTCAGCTAAAGTCAGCTTCTTGTCTGGCTAGAGGGATAGTGGGAATATTGGTCCGGCTTTATTGGTGGTGAGAATGCTTGGTATGCTTGCTTGTCTGTGAGTATTCTTCTAGTTCTAATCCGGGAGCCTCATTCCGTTAGTTGGGTTCTTTCCCACTTCTCAAACCCCCTTCATCTTTCCTTTCTGCTTACATACAATAGTATTACATTGAATCTTCAACCTCAAGAAGTCGTTCTTACTCGTATGGAAAGGCGAAAGAATGTTACTGCCATTGTAAAGTTAGAAGTCCTTTGAAGATTTCAAATACAGAGAGAAATCTGGGTAGAAGGTTTTATGGTTGTGCAAACTATAGAACTAGTTCATGTGGTTTTTTAAGGTAGAAAGATGAAGAATTGCCTGAGTACTACTGTAAATTAGTTTGGGATCTTATGACAGAGGTGCAAGAGTTGTAACAAGCTAAAGCATCAACAAGAATTTCAGAGGCACCCATGAATGTGAAGGATGAAAGGTTATTAGAGCTAGAAAATATGACAGTAGATTTAAGAAAAGAAGTGAAAAAAAACTACTGAAGTTCAGCCTTCGGTACCTACTGTTGGCGGAATATGTTGTGGTTCGTTTGGCATTTTTCTCTTTGGCTTTTTTACCTGTATTGTATTTCTTAAGATAGTGATGTGAATTTCTTATTTGACTTCCTGTATTGCATGCTTGTATTTTAGTTTCTGTTGTGTTTTAGTGCCTGTATTGTGGTTCACGTATTGCATGAAATATTGCATTCAACTTTAATGCTTCAACCATACGAATAAAAACTGTCATCGCTAAACATTCAACCATATCAATTCATTCATCTAACCTGTCATTAGTCATGACCATTCAATTAGTGCAAACCATATATATCAAACCATTCAACTATACCAATGCCATATTTATCAAACCATTCAAAAAAAAAAAAAAAAAAAAAAATCATACAATGCACCTTCATAAACTTGCAGGAACTAGAATAATTAATTTACCAAGATAATCATCCTAAACAAAACCCAGTTTCACCTTCAGTAAAGGTACCACTTTTAAAAAAAAAAAAAAAAAAAAAAAAAAAAAAAAAAAAAAAAAAAAAAAAAAAACCCACATGTAGAACCACTTTCATTAAGTCATCCTAGTCAAAAAGTAAGCAGGCCTATACAAGTCATCCTATACAAAAAGTAATACTAGTTTCAGCAACTCCAAAAGTAGTACTATTTTCACCATCATACACAAAAGTAATTGTTGTACTAATTTAAGTCATACCCTACACAGTTCTACATATGTTGCTGAGATACCAAAATTCATTAATAGTCCCTGTAAACTAGCCAACAAGTAATGACCTGGAACATTAAACAAAGCATGAATAAGAACCCGATCAATGCAAACTGTCCTAAAACTAAATGCAAACTGTCCTAAAAGTAAATGCAAATAAATGCCACCAGTTTATA